GCACAAGAAGAACATGGAGATGTTGGAACGTGTTCAGAGAGCCACAAAAATGATCAGAGAGCTGGAGCAGCTCTGCTGTGAGGACAGGCTGAGGGATTTGGGGTTGTTCAGCCTGGACAAGAAGCAGCTCCAAGGGGACCTTATAACAACCTTCCAGTATCTGAAAGGGGCCTAGAAGAAAGCAGGGGAGGGACTATTCGCAAGGGTTTGGAGTGACAGAAGGAGGGGTAATGGCTTTAAGCTAGAAAAGGGCAGATTTAGGTTAGACATTAGGAAAAAGTTCTTCAGGGTGATAGATCCCTGGAATAGGTTGCCTGGACAGGTGGTGGAGGCCCCATCCCTGGAGACATTCAAGATCAGGCTGGATGAAGCTCTGAGTAGCTTGATCTAGTTGGAGATGTCCCTGCTTATTGCGGGGGGGTTGGACTAGGTGACCTTTGGAGGTCCCTTCCAGCCCAGACATTCTATGATTCTATGACTTCCATGGCAAACTGTGTTTCTTTACTGAGGTCACATCTGCAGCTTAAATCACTAGCTGCAGCTCTGAAAAGGTCACTGAGCAAAGCTAACACACTGCGGCTGAGGATCAGAGCCCCAGTTAATAGAAACTGAGTTTTCAAGCCTGCTGAGGCTGTGCTAATAACTTCTGATCTCCTAAATATCAGCATCTCATAATCCTTGCAATGTTTTCTTGTAGAAAGAGCTGGAGTAAAAAATTGTAAGATTATAAGATGGCTTCCTCAAAGGATAACATAGAAATCACATTTTTGATCGCCAATTAGATGACTGCATTTAACTCTCAGATAGTCCAACAGACCCAAGGAGTGCATAGCAAAAGTACATTCCCAGAAGGGAATGAGAATAGCAGCAGTATCAAAAAGCAGCTCCAAACTTGATGACAGGAAAAGATGAAGGAGACAAAGGCAGAGAGGTTAAGCATTGAGTATATTCTTTCAGCTTTGAGGGAAGACTGTTAGGGCTTTGTGAAGTAGCTTCCTATGACACTGTGAGTTGTTGGAGCAGTGCAGGTAGCAATAAATTCTGTCTGTGTCCATCAAGAATGCAAGCATACCATTAGACCAATGCAGCAGAAACAAGCAGGAAGAGTCCACTGTTGTGTAAGAGAGTTTGTCTCATGCTGGGTAAACCATAGGATGAATAACTGGGACTGCAGTGGTTTAGACCCTACTCAGGAAGCGTAATACAGTTTCCATTTCAAGCATACGGAGAAGAGACATGTTTACATTCACTGAAATTAAACTCACAGCATATTCACCATCCCAGTTACATACAGCAAATTCCTTCCTCAGGTGTTACAGAAGTAATCTGTAGCCAACCACGTCCTGTGACTACCTTCTGTCCTCATCTTCAGGCTTTCCCACTAATAGACTTCAAAGTGCTTCAGCAAATCACGGCGCATTTCAGAATGACTCCTCCTTCCTATATGAGATTAGCTAGTCTACGAAAACTGACACTGGGGGAGGCTAAATGACTTCCAAGGCTTCTAGTCCTGAACGCTTTAACTGCAAGGCCACAGTTCTTCCCATTAAACTTACTCATCCCAGCATACCACCAGGCAGATTCTGCACCAGCTCTCAGTAGCTTGCTTTAAAAATTCTGCACTTCCAGACTAGTAACTCTGAGGGATCAGCAGACTGTATCTTACTATCTGCATCAGACAACACTGAAAGTTGTCACCACAGTCTGAAACGCAGACTTACACTATTATACCAACGATGCAAAGGTCCTTCCAGAAATACATTACTTGAAAAATCTTGACAAGCACAGTCACTACACATTAGAGACAACAGTAAGTATCTGGGTCAAAGTATTTAGTCAAATAGAAGTAAAAAAGAAATCTCATCCTCAATTTTTCACATCATATAGTATAAGGGACAGAGAGAGAAATGTATTTCATTGTGTGGGGACAAAGTCCTGCCCGCACATTACTCACTTTGTGTTGGGAGACTGCCACTCATCTCTCACTGGCTGATCAGGCAGGGACATCATGGAGTAACTATTCAACATGAGACCATCAGGGTCATCTGTTTGACCTGGGAGTTTCCCAAGAGGAAAGTCTTTCCACCGAACTTCGTCTGGGTAAAAACAGTACATAAATAAGAAGTGTGAGCTCCCCAGAGAGATTTTTAAAAAATAGTATCACCACAAGTCCAAAAATACTGTCTCACGCAACTCAGCCATTCAACAAAAATGACCAATTTCAGGTACTCAGGTAAAATATTTTTGAACTGCAGTTCTAACTTTTTTTATTTCTATCTTCACTATCTCTTCCAAAGAAAGTCATTGTAGCACGTGAGAGAACAGGGACACATCTGGAGTGACGTGGCATCACACAGCCTGTGCAGTGCAGCTCACCCAAACCTCCCCGGGACAACGCTCAGTGAAAAAACTCCACGGTATTCTAGAGCAACCCTTCATACTTACCTCCCTCTTTTAAGCATAATTCCATTTGAAATATACACATTGACTTGCCTATGTTGATTTTTAAAAAATTACTCTGCGTAGTTCTGTAAATGGAAAGAGCCATTTGTACACATACGAAGATACAACCATCACAACTGATAAGATCACTGTGTCCAGTCCTTTACACTGTGGTGCCAAAATTTCAAAGGCAGTTCCCAGTAGGGAAATCCCCCTTTAAATTTCATTATTCCACATCTAACTGAATGAAAGATAAAAAATCATCATGTGGCATTGTTTTGAAAATAAGATTTCTTAAGCCTGCTTGCTTTCTTGAAAGCAGAACACTTATTTCTGGAATGCTTTACTAGCAGCTCAGTGAAGACCAGCAGACAGAAGCTTTCAAAAGATAAGGCACTCCACTCCAGAGAGCCAACAGTAACTACACAGGCTGAGAACCCTACTAACCACACACAGCTTGGTCATTCCTTTCTCTCTGCCTGAAACTGACTTGTTTTGTGCACCCAATATCTGCTCAGAAGCCCAAGTACTCCCCCTAAAGAAGCAGCAGATGTATTTGATTTTCTTTTTTATACGATTCTTGGGCATTTAATAGAACAAAAAATCTTGACATAGGATAGTGCTTTCTAAGTGTTACCATTTTACAATTAAAAAAGGGGCAGAAAAAACATCTGGCAACATCCAACACATCTGTAAGGCAAACTACTATTACACATATTTAACAAGCTAAGCCCTTTCTTTAGTGAAGAACCTGGTAAATAGTTGATACACTACATATTGCCATGGGTTTGTACATACTCAAGTCTGTGAAATGGGACAATTTGCTTCTGTCCTAAAATATCCACCTCTAACAAGCAGTTCACATCAGCATAACTAAGACAAGCTGCTTAGGTAGATTTCTCTTTTTTTTTTTTTTTTTTTGACTTGGGAAAATTTCCATGTGATTTGGGTGCAAGAGTTTATTGTCCTCTAATGAGTGCTCTTCCTCCTCCTTTAAGTATCACTTTGGCTCCAACTCCTCTCCACCTACCTCCTCCTGTCTTCAAGTTTCTCCATAAATCACTCATTCAAAAATCCCACCTACAATATGCTCTACCCCAACAAGGAAGTACAGCACAGCTACCATAATAAAGCTAAGAAAATGCTAGATATATTGTTTATTCCCCATAAAAACTTGCCTCGCTCTTTTCTTTTGCTTGCCACCATGTCATAGCAGCAATTTTCCTGGAGCATGGAACTTAAAAGCAGTGCTTTCTAGCACAGCCAGTTGGGCTTTTAAATACACTCATCTCTGACAAACAAACACTTGTATTTTCTTTGCCATTCAAAGCTGGTATATATGCTGCTCCAACAATTGGATACATTCAAATTTTAAACAGTTTGGAAAAGCCAGATAAAATTCTAATGATGCAGTAACAACATTCTCCTGGAAAAAGCACTCAAAATATTTTAAGAGTTTAAGAGAGATGACTCCTGCACATAAAGAGAAGTCTGGAAAAAATAAAAACAAACAGTCTTCAGTGATTTGATATTTGGATGATTTTGAAGCACACTAATTCTGGCCAGGCCCAGAGGGCTGAGATGCCTTTGCTTTTCAATTAATGTTTGCCAGTGATGAAAACTGTCTTACAGAGTCATTTTTTACCTGCAGTGATCTGCCAGGCGGACCCTTGCAGTGCTGCCCTTTTCTCAGCAATAGCCACCATGTGACCAGAATGAGCAAGTCCTTCCAAAGGATTTGTTTCAGTTGCCATCTCTTCTTCCTCCTCCTCCATCTCCTCTGCACCATCATCTCTCTCCAGCATATCTTCTTGTTTCTCTACAGTATGTCCTTGAGTTTTAACCTGATTGTCTTGCCTGGCCCTCCACTGTAAGCTCTCTATCGTGTAAATTGGCTGTTCACTGCAGTCTGAGGAGAGGCCTGGGCTGGACAAAGGGCCAGCTCCTTCCGTGTACACAGACGCGAGATAGAGAAGGTTCTTCCGTGAAGAACGTGGCAAGCGAGGTGTCATGATTGTGAGGATCCTAGAAAGGAGGTGAAAGTCTTACAAAATGAAACACACTGCAAATGAAGAACAGTCAAGCTGAGCAGCCTCTTAAATGTGTTTCCTCCAGGACAGCTCTCTCCTGTATCTCCCCTAACAGGCAAATCTGATTATTCCCTGGTGGGTGGATGTTGGAATACTCCCTCTTTTATGATTAAAATTAAGAGCACAGGACACTTTCAAGTGAATTCCTGCTCTACTGTTTTCATGTGAAAAAGTTACAATCTCTGCTAAATTCTTATCACCCATAGAAGCAATCACACCTCTGCTACCAAGTCACTTTTCTTCTGACCAGGTTGCTTCTTTAATACCTTCCCACATAATCTCCACTTTAATTTTGAAGGTGCAATCCTTTTAAATTCTCCTCCTTCTTCTCTTTGTAGAATCAATGAGGAGATGACCAGCAACAAGCAGAGTTTTATATGCACCTGCCACAATTTCTACTAGGTGCAAAGGAAGAAAAGGGAATGCAGCTATAATTCATCACACCACAAAGGAGCTGGCCCAAGCTGTTACAGAGCACTGTTTGCTGTCCCTTTCCTAGGTCACAGGGTCAAACTTACAGCTGAAGAAGGTGTGGAGTGGCCCAGCAGGGAGCTTCCAAGCAATTATCAGTCAATCTTGTCCACTGCAAAGGAACTTTATGGAGGAAGAGATCCTTCACAGACACCTGTTTGTTACACTGTTGTCTTTTCTTCCCTTCAAAGAAGACAATGAAGACAGTAAGGTGCTAAAAACTCATTAAAAATAAGCCTTTCATCCCTTTGCATTTTTACTGGAACACTCATCCTCAAATAAGCTGGCATTCCAATCCAAGTCTAGGCCCAGATGTACTGACCCAACACATTAAGGTTGTTAGGAGGGACTTGTCAATGCACTGACAGCTAGGTTGGCTCCATGAGACATGACCACAGGGAGGTGCAGACATTCCCAAGCTGGCTGTGTGCATGCCACCCCAAACAAAGCCACAAGATGTGTTTGCACAGTATTGTCCCAAATAAATGCAGTATATTGCTTCTGAGACCCAAGATCATTCCAGATAGCATTGCAATAAGCAGACTTAACAGCTGGGAACTGCAGCCATCCAGGGATCTTAGTACATAACAGACAAAACCCATGCTGACTGAAAGCATCAAACATTAACCTGTGACTGCTACAGATACTGACAAAATCTTGGTTCAGACTGATCCAGACTGGGAGAGGACAGCAGAGGTGGCAAAATCAACCAGCTGGAAATCTCTTCAGGGATACACTATGTCACAATATAAAAGTCCTGTTAACAGAATTCCTGTGACAGGCTTACAATAATTAAAGCTCTTCTGCATCCCCATCTCTGGAGTGAAACATACAGGTTTACAATTTAAACAGTTCCAAGGAGTTAGGAACAGAAATCAAAATATTACCTATTACTCTTGTGTAAATTTAGAAGGCATGAAAATCCTGGGATAGGATTAAACAAGGACAGTAAGACTACACAAATATCTTGGTAAAGGCAGGCTTCTGTTAAGTGAGGAACTGGAAGCAGAGAACTCGGGTTCTCTCAGGTTGCATAGAGCATCCTTATTTGTTATCTGCAACGGTTATTTCCTACAAGTACTAATATCTGGGAAAAATAGCATTTAAGGCCTGATATTTCATGGGAGATATTGGCTTTTTCCTATCTGGAGGAGGTTGCAGCCAAGTTAACAATAACACTCTCTGGTTTTTGCTAAGAAATGCATGACATACATAAGCTGCAGGTTGAAAAGTGTGAGAAATGCAACAAAAGCTCTGCATTCACAGGACAAAATGTACCAATTGGGTTAGTGCACTTCTCATCTAAAGGTCACACAATTCTCCCAGTTTTTGCAGTATTACAGAAGAGACTCCTATTTTTTACACACAGAAGTTCCAGACATACTCACCAGCATTTACTTTGGCAATGCCAGTGAGCATCTCAGAAATCCAGTTGACCAAGAACCGAGGTCGGAGTTCTGAAGAATCATAACATTCCTTCAGCTCCATAAACATTTTCTCTACTAGGATCTGTGTAAAACTTTGGGAAAGGAGGCCTGTCAGCAAAGGCTGCCAAAAGCAGTAAAACGCCTGAGGAATTTTGAACTGCAATACCTCCTTATTTGCTGCAATAAGAAAGAAGAGAAGCAAAAAATCACTGTTCTGCTATTTTTTTTGTGAACCACGCTTGTTCGAAACTAAACCAGTTTGTTCTGAGATCACTGATTCCAGGGTATTGTCTGGGATCCTTGCTGAACCTGGAACTATTATTTTCTTATGCTAGGGAATTAAAACAAGCAGTAAATTGATAACAAACACAGCAGCTCAAGGAAAGCAGAAAATAAAATGCCTGATCTAATCACACGGTAAACCACAGGAAAACCAACCTATTTTGCTAATCCCTTTCCAGTTTCATCTTATTTCACAGGGAATAAAGATCTATTCTGTCTAAAAATATTCTGCATGTTGAGCAAAGCAACACAGAATCACAAAGCTCCTAAATTTTTAACTGCTCTAATATAGTCAGAGAAATTTGAGGATCTTTCTTGGAAAGTTCTTTGGCTTGTGTTTGCAGGAGGACCCAGGGAAACAGACAAATTATTAACTTTTATTACCTCTAGGTACCTAATTCTTTTGCAGAAAATCCATGCAACTCCACACGTATGGGCAGGAGCATAGAACTAAGATGCAACTGGTGAATGAGGTTCAAAAAAAACCATTCCGATTTGCTTCAAATCTTCAGTGTAGGAAAGAAAGTGGTGGGAATTCATTAAAACAGTTAAACTCTTGCAGGTAAGGGCAGAGATGCAAGCTTCAAAACACATTTTGGCCAGGAGGCATCCAGTGCTAAAGAGCAATTCTTATATGGTAAGAGATTTATACAGAAGCAATAGCCAAGCACGGCTATAAAGGTGTCTGGAGAAGAGGTCAAAAGATGTTTAAGGACCCATATATATAAAAAGCTATGCAGAGAATTACAGATTTCAGTATAAGTAAAAAAGAACAAACTTGGACATAAGTCCAGCTATGTGCTTTTCACTTCAGCGGTGCCCAAAACACTAACCTTCATACTTAATATTTAGCATCTTCAGACAATCCATCTTTGGGATGAGAAAGCCATCACTGAGAAGAGCTTCAGCCACTGTCTCCCTAGAGCAACCAAAGAGCCTTGTTAATGCCACTTACTCCTTTATATACCAAAACCCCACCCGCACCAGTTCTGAAACAAGCTGAAGAGCCAATTGCCTGGAACTATGAGGAGGTGATGTAGCTTCTTGCACGGCACTACAATCGGACACCAATTTGGGGCTGGATATATCCTGCTAGACTTGGAAGGAACGTGCAGTTGTGCAAAGTGGAACAGAACCAGAACCTTGAAGTGGTGTTCAAAAACAGCTTTCAGGAACCTCTCTGTAAACATGCACACAAATGTACATTTAAAGCTTGTGCAGTTTGTTTTAGAAGTAAAAAAATTACTTGATTAGAAGTACTTGCACAACTCATTGCTCTTTCTGTACCATACTGCTATTCATCTTCTCAAACAGATGTCACAGTACAGAATGGACTGGTAGCAAGGGCTACAGAAGGTAGAGCTTGTACTGAGTTTCTAGAGAATTAAGAGAATCTGTGACCTTTTGCACAAGAATGTTTAATGGAAGATTCCCTCTAAAGAAAGGCAAATCTGCAGTTAAAAAAACCCTCATGCCATATCTCTGTATCTATGCTGCTATGTAAAGACCAAGGAGACCAAAGTGTGATAAGCTCTCATCTTCAATACAGTTCAGATGCTATTATTAATAAAGAGAGTAGAATGTACATGTATGAATCCTTACTGCAGACTGGTTTTAATCATTTTGGGCTCTCAAAGAAAACACGTACGTCGTTCTAAGAAGCTAGACTTAGGGACAGCCTTCCATGAACCATAAATACAACAGCTTGTGTTCTTTAAAAGTTGCATCTGGATGCTGGAATAAAAATAGCATGAGGTGAAGCAGGTGCTCAGCAATGAAATATGGGAGGGAGTGCCAAATCCTGGAGTTTGCTCTACCATTCTGAGGCTTTCATCCCACCCCTGTCTACCCCTCCACATGAAGAATGTACTAGTGATTTGTCTGAATGTTCATCAGGCTCAACCATGCTTGGTACTTGGATTTAGCATTTGTCTATAAGGACACTTTTTTTATGTAAGCCAGTGCAGCATTTGTTCAGATGCAATGTGGCCTTTTTCCTGTTACTGCTCTGAAATGAGCAACACAGTGGAAGTCTACCAATAGTGGAGAGCCTCAGTAGAAAATGCAGTCTAACTGAAAAATCACTTTCTCTCTCAAGTGAAACAGTATTACACAAGCAACTTTCTAATGTTAAAAAAAAAAAAAAAGGGAAAGGCCTGAAATAGGATTCTTTATTAAGCCACCTGCAAGTTGCAAATCATGTAACTGTATGATATCAAGATTCTCCCTTAAGGGTCTTCACAGGAGAACAGGGTAGGTTGGGTTTTGAGACCTGGCTACATGAAGCAAAATCCAAAACTTCCTTACTAATGTAATTATGGTTCCATCAGCAGGCTGCCAAGAAGATGGCAAGAGACAAATGGTTAGCGGGTTTTCTTGCTTTTCCCATCCCTCCCAGCTCAACTTTGACCCACAGTCAGGTGTTTATAAAAGTGTAGTGAAGGCAGCAAGCTCACTGCAGTGCTAGTTCCAGCCCTTGCTGTAATAATGTACATATTCTTTCTGTGAAAAAAAAAGGACAAAAAAACCAACAACTGTGTGCTTGCAGGTTGATTGGTTTGTGTTTTGAACAGCTGGTCTGCAAATGGACACTCCAGCAAGGTTCAAGAGGTGAATTTTTATTATCTGTAAGCGTTAAATCGATTTTTCTAGTAAATAATTTTCATGCTGCAGAATTAAAACGAGGAAAATGGGCATAAAGAAGGCTTAAATAAGGGGAAGCAAAGCAACACTGCTTTATGGAGCTAATACTGCTTAAAGAAGCAAAAGGAGCAGAGAGCCTGTCAAGCAAAGGGAGTAAGGGCTGGCAGTGCACTGCCAAAGCTGTTCCAATTCAGAAGGACGCAGGTTTCCTTTCCACAAGTTTGGCCCAAAGTCTGGAACTGTGGAACTAGTACTTTGGGAAATAACACACAGAGACACAGATATAGATACATATATATATAAAGCCCCATGCTTGCCCAAACTTCACACTGAACAGTGAGCACACACAAGGCAGTCAAATGCAATAGCAAAATCTCTCTTCAGTAGCATCATCACTTGTCAGATGCAGGAAGCACAAAACAAGTAGAAATCACAAAGCTCAACACTGCCAACAAACATCTGGGTACATTCAGTCCTCTGCAAAGCAGAAAACCAGCTATTGACATCAGGAGGGTGGTTGGTTTGTTTTACAAAGGGAGACTAGAGATCCCCATTTTTACCACACTTCTGGGTCAGCAGTGTCTCCATATTAGGATCATATGTCCTAAAACTCATCATGTGTCATAATTTTTTTCACCAAACAGAACTCCCAAGAGATTCCACTTCCCCACACACCTGCCCTCCAGCCAGTAGACAAGCAGGCACAGTAGTGAAGGTTTAATCAAAGGCCCTGCCCTAGAATCCTATCCCACCCACCTGCTGTCCATTCTAGCAGTTTAGGCACTGTTGAGATGATGAATTCACCCTCAAGAATTTTTCTGAGAATTGCCAATGAAATATATATAGCGTGATGTGCTTCAGATAGAAACCTCAGCTTATTTAAAGGAAAAAATGCTAGTGCAGTTTGGATGTGGTAGTAGTAAAAGAAAAAGCACTGCAGAGTGCTGAGAACTGGCCAATTATTCCAGGTGTTTCTAGTCTCAAATATGCCATTAGTTCCATGGGCTTCAAAAACGATCATGCCCCAACTCCCCTCTCCACCCCGTCCCCCAGCACATGGTATTTCACAGCTTGATGAGGGCACTAACTTTGAAACACTGGTGCCTCAAAGACCAAAAATACAGTCACTAGCATCTAAATTCTAAGTTTCAGTATTCTGGGGGAAGATTTTAATTTGGTAAATGGAGCAGATTCTTGATTCTTTTGGAAATCCACACAACTGGGGTTGAATGCACTTCGTGCAGCTGCATGGGACAAACAGCAAGAGCTGACACAGCAGGTGGTTCATACGAAGCTGATACTAAAAAAAACCTGCTAGAATGTGATTTGACACATTTTCATGGGATACCACAAGACTGTTTACCAGAATTAGTGCACAGCAAGCAAATGTTGTACAGGAAACATCACTCATTAACAAAATTAAAAACTCAGTCCTCAAAGATGTTGAGGAAATCAACCAATTGCTTTCTCCATGATCAGCTGAACAACATGGTGAAAAGGTGGTGCAACAGGTCTACAGGCCCAGCTCTGCACTGTACCTTTCACCTCAGTTCCTTATCAGAGCTGTACCTGTTCTCTTGCATCAGGTCTTTGATCTGAGCCAAAATCCAGTCCACTTCTGAAGAAGAATCAGACCACACTTCTCGAGACTTTGAAACAGACTGTGCAGTCTGCATAACCTGAGTGAAGGAAAAATCCAAGTATTAACAGAAAATATGCTCCAATGGTGAACAAAAAGGCATTGCTATGAAGAGAAGATGCATAAGCCATATGTACTTCATCAACAGCACTTCAAAAAACTCACAAGTTTCCCTTCCTAGCGGTATATAAAAAGAATCAGTAAAATCCACATCCTACTTGGAAAAGGCCTGAATTAAAAAGGCAACAGCACCAAGGTGTCACAGTCCTGCCATCCTCCTCCTGGTTCAAAACCTTGCTCTCCCTGACTTCAGCACAAACAAGGACAGACTTATTTTGAATCATTAACCCCACGGATGAGATGGGGATGAGGCTGCCTACTCAGGATGAGGTTTTGCCAGTACTTTTTGATGTACTGTATTATGCATACAGTACTTCAAAAAGTCGAATCAATACAGCCACCTAGGCAATTTGGTGGGATAAGGTGAGTTTTACATGAGCTTCAAATCTGAAGTTTTGAAATTACTCTTTAGCAACTGACTGACTACATCTTTCCCCCATTCAACCAGTTTAAATTTTGAAGTTGCATTTTCCTGTTCAGTTTGAAATACTGCTCTCTGCTAACAAGATAGGAAGTCACTCACCACATACAATCTATTTGTCCCCTTTATGATGCAAGGAAAACATCCTTCCCTTTCTGTATTTGTTACTGTGTTACTCTGTATGAATAAATTAGAATCGTGTTACATACTCCAAAACCAAGACAATAAAGGAAACTGGATGCTTATTTTCAGTAAAACCCCTGACCCAAGTTCTCACTGCTGATGAAGTCTACACTTCACTGGAATTTTAGTATGCTTACTCCTTTAGCCTCTAACGATATTAATAGAAATAAAAGTGAGAACAGCTCCCCAATAACAACAGTATGTTGGTGAGGTCATATCCAAAGTCACTCTGCAGAGTCTTTAACCCAGCTCTCACCACATATTAAGAACTATCCCATTATTAGGAAGGGGAAGTTGAGCAGAGAGTTGATCCACCTGGACAAGAAAGACTTGGAATCTTCACCAAGTACACACCTCATTTATAAACATGAACAAAGTGTTCACATTAGAAACCACAGCGGCTCAAATTGCTCATTCTCTGCAGTGAAGCTTTACTTTGGCAAGCCATGTACAACAACCCTAGGAGAGGGTAGTGAACAAGGAACTAACCAAGCCCCTCTCTGTATGTGCAGCAGCTACAGGTTCCCTAGAGGCTACACACTAGACAGCAGCACTACGTCAGGCAAGAGTCCACAACCTGTCACACACTGGTGGCACTGTGGACGCTGGCATAATGCCACCTCTGCAGCACTGATTCAAGTATCACTTCTGTGTCACTGGGGCTTCTGGACAGACTCTAACAGTGGGAGGTCACTACAGGGAGAAAAAAAAAGCAATCCCTGCAGTCCTGTGAAAAAGAATCCCAGCACAGCACCTTGTCACAGTTGTGACAACACTAAGGTATTTCAAATAAGGCCTGGAAAAGAGCACCAGTTCTTCAGACTGGGCAACAGGAGAATAAGATTTATTGCCCCAAGCAATAAGAACAACCAAAAGTGATGATGACCAAACTCCACTTACCCGAAACTGCTCATTCTTGTAGGATATCAGTACATCTCTGACTTTTTCTAGAAATAAACATAAATACGTAACTTATACAGGAAACAGATCAACTATACAACGGAATTTTGTATCTGGACAAGCTGCATAGTTCTGAGGAATATACACTCAAGGAAGACATCAGTCAAATAAGTCATAAATTCTGATTCAGACAACAATATGAAGACTCTTACAGCTCCCAAATTTTTCCAGTAACAAACTTTATCCAGTGGGGTTGAACCATGAGTTCAGTATTTTATCACTAACAGCAGCCAAAGACAGGGAAGCTGGATAAAACCAGACAGTATGCTGAAAAATCCCTCAGTGCACCAGTTCAGGAACGAAATGTTCCCACAGGCAGTCCATGTTCTGGCACATACTTGTACCCCTTACACTTCCATTTTAATGCTATTCCAACAGCACTGGGGCTACTCACAAGCCAATCTTACTGGGCTTTATTAAACTTAATTTACTGTCTACACGAAATGTCCTTTATCTGTGGACCACTTCTACTGTACCTGAAACAGGACTGTCTTTCAAAATACTTCACCACTCAGGTGTCATTGTCACCTGCTACCAGGATGCCCACCACTCCCTCTCAGCCAGATAAAACTTCAGGTACATCTGAACTGCAGGGCTGATAGGGTGTTACTGCATTCCACACCTGGACACGTAACTCACACAATCTACCACTCTGCAGTTCCCTCTTTTGACAACTGGGAGTGGGGTGTCTTTTTTTAGGGTAGTCAGGGAGAGGAAGGAACAGCACATGCTTGGACCTCTTCCAACATGAAGCCAGACAGAGGCCCAGACATACACTCAGACAAGAGAAGGGGTAAGTGCTGCTGCTGCATTTCAAAGTTTGGTACTGCTTCTGGGTTTGGATTGTTCTAGAAAATTCTGCATAAAACTCTAAATACTCAGCAAATTACCTAACTGGAACTGGATCACAGCTATTGTATCTATATATGAGTTTGTCATAAAATAATCTAGAAGGGACTTGCAACAATTTCACAGATCCTAAAGCCAGAAAGATCATTATAGTCACCTAGTGTGACCCTCCAGGGAGCAATAAGGCTCAATTCAGCACTTCTGCACACTTTGTGGACCTTGGATTGGGCTGCTGTGATATTCTGTGTGAGTCATGCCCCATAAGCATGCCATGTTTTGTCAGAAAAAAATACGACTAATTGGTTTAAATGTTTGAGGTACTGTTTGATACCTCACATGCCTCACACCCTGGCAGTGGCAGACCAGCCACCTGATCTGAAACAAAATTTCCTCCGGTAAGTCATTCTTACCACTTCTGGTGGTGGAAAAATAACCACTGAATCTGTTCACTAAATTTTTCCCTTTGCTTTGCACTTCGTACCTTACATCCAGGTTGAGTTATCTGTGATTTTATTTTATTCTTTTTATACTATTGGCAGCTAGTGATTTTTCTGTCCACATGCAATGTATTTTGAAATTAGCTGAACAGCCTCTTGCTCGAGTTATGAATCTAGAGTTCTGAGGGCTATGAAAGGACCACAGTATTCTTTGTTGGCAGTGGGCTCAATACCAAAACTGTGCCTGTCAAGACACTACAACTAATTTTTACAATGCTTGGTTCTAAACCATCCCAGTGTAAGTGCTGCTACTGATGAGGATACTGCACATTCAATAGAAGCAAAAGATTTTATGCTACAAATTCAGTGAGCTAGTACCAAAAAAACTAAGTCACCCCAAGAATCCACCAAGGCCCAAAGAAGAAGCCCAAAAGCTGAGTTGAAGGTTTATCTGTATGCAATGTTTGGGCGAGAAAATTACCCTTGTAAACTGTTCTCTTTAGCAGTTGCATCTAATCCTGGTACTAAGGACAAGTTATTAATCATTAAGGACACCTACCATGGAATTCTTTGTGTTTCTGATGGGCCTCATGCTGTGGGGTTCGAATCTCCCATGCATCATTGTCCAGCTCTGCATTTGCTTCCACCTCTTCCTGCTCCTCTTCCTCATCCTCGCCCTCACTTTCTTCACACAAGTTATTACCCAGCTGACGGCTCCAGTATGTCTTTCGTAGCCAGTCCAGCACAACATCACAACCTGAGGGAGAACAGAAAACATTCTTTTCTCAGTGAGGTTTTCTTCGTTATTGATAAACAAATCCAACAAAAAAAGGTGACACATTTCTAACTTTCACCGTGAAAAGAAATCCTGTTAATGAGTCATGAACCCGGGAATCACATATAGCTCCATTAATGAAAAAGTGAATGACCCACTAACACAGACCTGGGAACACCCACTGTCTTTTTGGAAACAAAAAAAGACTGGACACTGCTATAGCACTGCACTCTGCTCAAGCTAGGCCAAATTTAAGCAGAAACAAAGTCCCAGCAGTGGCTTTCTGATGAGAAAACAAGGAAATTCTTTAGTTCTTTAGTAATCCCTATAATCAATATAATACCTATGACAGTAACATTTTTTTCTGTGCAACGACTACACTAGGCATACATTAGATAGAATGAAAAGAAAACCCCTTTCTTCCATCACTATTTCACTACCCAACTCAATCTAAGGACCCTGCTGAAGGTTATTTAACTAGCTCCTCAGTGATTAGCCCAAAATTCCTAGGAATGCCTTCAAACACCATGAGCAGGTCATTCCCTCGGGTTTGCAGTGTCTCTCACTAAATGAGATTTTTTTAAGGGTCTCAGATATCTCTAAACCATCAGGAAAATCGTTTACCTC